TTTGAAGATGAAATCTTGTCCCGTATCCTCGACGCCGCCATTTCATATGACTGCTTGGCAGTGAGCAACCTGGCGTCTTTCGAGATCTTAGCGCGCAGAAAACAATTGATCGCTGATGAGGCTCATGCATACAACCCTGCTTCCCCATCCTACGAAGGTAGCGAATACTGGATGGGAAACAAGTTCAAGCATGGTGGTGCAATTGTGGTTCCGGCTCTGACAGAACATGTGGCCAAAAAGTTGCACGCTGACTCGCAGATCATGAAAGAAAGACGAAAGCTGGAAGAGGCCAAGGGAAAAGCAAAAGGCAAGCCGCCTAAAGCTGTGCCAAAGCAGCCGGCGGCCTCGTCCGGTCAGTGAACCTGCTGCCGGGGTGGTCTCGGGTCTTTTTCGCGTGCTTGGGGACTGGCTTCGTGGCATTCCCCGAGCGCTTGTTTTGATTGCTTTGACGAAGCGCTGGGCGGTGCAGCTCCTTGGGATGGTGAAATTTTTTTGGCAGATGTGAGAACTCGGTCTTTCACACCCTTCAAGGGGAGGTAGAAGAGCAAACTTGGCTGTCAACGCTTTGAATTCAATGTGGTTTGGGGGGCGGTCTCTGAGGTAGACAATATCGGAGACCTCCCTGCTGCGCAACAAGAGGCATTAAGGAATGTCCTTGACAAAGTGAAGCAGCTGGGTTGCCCTCCTGCCGATGCAAGCCGCCAGCGAGCCTTGAATGCGCTTCGGGCCGCCAGCTCATCGTACATGGAAACCGAGCCTGGCGTGGGAACAGTTGTGGACATGGTGATGGAGCAGCTCTCTTTGCCGAGTGGTGAGGTGGGTGGCGTGTCCGTGCTATGGTAGAAGATTTTGAGAGTCATATGTTGCAAGATGCATCCAGGTGGACTGATTTGGAATCTGAAGCTGGAAGTGTGCCGCCTTACAATGATAAGCTCCTTTCCCATAGAGATGGTTACCTGTCTTTCCTCAGACGCTTGTTCTCGGCAAAAGTGTTGGATTTTTCAAGCATGGTTAGAGGTACGGTGGGTGAATTGTGTTGCAAGAAGCCCAAGATCGTTGACGGAGTGTCGAAACCTCGTCAGCGTCTATAGTCCTTGATTGCAGACAGACAAATTTGCTTTTCAGAGCCTCACCACTCACGAAGCTCGGCAGTTTGCCAGCAGTGGGGCAGTTGAAGCTGAAACCTCATGAGAAGCTCTACACGGCAGGGGCTGTCTCTACGCCGTGAACTGCCCGCCAGGAATGAAGGACTTCTTCTGCCTGGCAAGCGACTTGACGTGGGAAGAGGCGGTCTGGGTTTCTGGAGGGGCGATTGGCGAGGAGTTTGAGCATTGTCGCATCTCACCGTGCATCAAGTTTCTGCCTATTGGTTTTAATTGGTCCTTTTTCCTTATTCAGGCCATGCGCGAGCAGGCATCTTTAAGGTCATTGGGTATTGAGCGGGACTCCTTGATTTTGGACGGGCAACCTGCGCCGGTGTTGAAAGAGGGCAGTTGTATATCAATGCCGTATTATTGCGACAATGTTCACACAATGGCAACCGACCCAGTCACCTGCCAGAGGGGATGAGATTTGCAACACATTGAGTTCCATGGGCTTCTCTCTTCACGAAGAGACCGAGGCAGCCACAGTGGTGCAGACTTTGGGGGGTATCATCAATGGAGATCTAGGGCACGTCAGGGCTACACCGTCCAGAATGTGGAAAATTGTTTTTGGTTTTGAGTATTTGCTTGAAGCTAAAGTTTCTCCTACATTGGTGCAGCGTGCTATGACACTATGCGTCCGTTGTCGACATGGTATGTCTGGTTTCCGGGCCCTTTATAATTTTGTTGAGCGAGATCCTCCCCCCCGTTGTTTGAATAGAGTTGAAAAGCAAGAGGTTTTGAACTTCATTGGCATTGTACCCCTACTGTTTTCTGACACGAGAATGCCCTGGAGTAGCATACTGACAGCGACGGATGCGTCGCCAGACGGATGCGAACGTGAGGCCAACGCCGACGCTGTCAGCAGCTTGGGCCAATGGAGCGAGAGATGGCGTTTTCGGCGTCCTCCTCCAGAACAGTGGGGGCCGCGGGATGTGTTGTCGGACACTCGCACAATATTTGTGGCCGAGGTGTGGAGCAGTCAGGTATGTATGTGGCCAACCACGATTTCCCGGAAGTTGACCAGTCACTGTTGGAACCAAAAGATTGGAAAACGGTAAAATTGGGCATGTGGAGGCACACAAGTGAACACATTACCATCAAGGAGGGAAGGGCTTTGGTTTTGGCATTGCGGAGACTGGCGCGATCGTCCAAGCATAGATCACGTAACCATGTGTTTTTGTTGGACAATTTGGCACTGTGCTTCGCAGTTCACAAGGGGCGGGCGCACGCTTATGACATGCTTCGCATTATGCAACAAGTTGGCTCAATTTGTTTGGCTGCAAGCCTTGGTGTGTTTCCAAGATGGGTTGCTAGTGAGTGGAATGTTGCCGACGGGCTCAACAGGGGCAAGTCAGTCCGGGTCCTTTCAAGAAAGAGCTTGTTGAAAGTGCGCCCCCCCCAAAGTCGTCAAGGGTGGTGGCGATGAGGCGCCGGAGTCGGCGTTTCAGAGACTGGAGGTCCGGACCTTGAAGGGTTCGTGCCCGCCAGAGCTTGCGAAAGAGAAAGCAGCCAAGCGAGTGATGGCCCATTGCGGGTCGGTGACGCCAACAGTCAAAAGAGCAAGGAGATCAGCGCAAGCTGTGTCAGTGCCTCGCAGCGGCGAGGTGGGAACTTTGGCAAGAAAGCAGGAGCTCACCAAGCTGGAGGCGAGAAGCGTTTCGGTGGAGCGCAGAGCTCAATATGGACCGCCGCAGACCCAGCTCTGGCGGACTTCATGGACCTCCTTGTCGAGGATGGGAAGGCAGCTCATGTGCAAAAAGACCCTGGCAGCTCTGAAATTTTATTTCCTGCAGTGCAAGAACAACCTTCCCAGGGCAAGAAGGGCCCTGAGAGGTTGGAGAAGGCCTGCCCAGCCACAAGTCGTTTGCCTCTAACACGCCTGCCATGTATGGCGTAGCCATGCAAATGGTGGCAGACGGCCAACAGCTCATGCGATTGATGGTGACGGTCACTTTTTTCCTTTACCTTCGTCCTGGACGCTCACGACCTTTTAGAAAGACATGTGATACCCCGGGTCAAGGGGGGGAAGCCAATTCGCTTGGATCAACGTGGTGATCAGAGACTGGGAGGACCTCCTTGTGTTCAGTGGTTAGGGGCACAGCTGCTGGATGTCAAGAAAAGGCTAAAAAGTCAGGGCAGCAAGATTTTTCCTTTCAGCGTGGAGGATATCCGGACTCACTTTGTGGCAAGCAGCTGGGGCTAGATGGGCTCCACCTGTATCGGCTGCGACATGGAGGTGCCACCGAGGATCTTTGCGCCAAACACAGAGACTTCCACGGTGTGAAGCAGCGCGGTCGATGGCTCACCGACCAGAGTGTTCGGCGCTACGCCAAGACGGGTCGCGTCCAGCTGTTGCTCAACAAGTTGGACCACAGCAGCATGAGATACTGCATGTGGGCGGAGAAAAACACGCGAAAGGTGTTCATGGGTGTGGTGCCACCTCGACGGCTCTCAGAGCCTTAGAGTTGACAAATGTTTTTGAAGTGAAACAGAAGCCGCGCTTCTTTGCACTTGAGATTTTTGGCTCTCGCATCACTGAAGCCTTTGCAGCGTTGCATGCCTATGTATCCAATTGACGTCTGCCTTTTCCTTCTCACAATGGACTGAGTATTTCAGTCGAAAAGAAGATTTTGGCTTGGATGCAACAGGGGTGTTTCTTTCCTTTGGGTGCGTATGCCGAGCGGAACATATATTCTCTGGGTTGCAAATCTGGTGGTCAAGTGTCTAAACCTCTTGGTTCCCTACAGTGTTTATGGGGCTTACCAACCTTGACAGCGAAAGAGCGTCGCAAAGTCACTTAAGGCAATTTGTTACTGGCTTTTCTGTCGCGGGTACTACTTGCTTGTGAACATCTTTCAGTTCTGTACGTGGTTGAAAAACCCTGAGTCTTCCATGCTTTGGGATATGCCGACAATGAAGGAGTTTGTCCAACAGTACCACCAGCAATTTGTTGGCGTGGACTACTGCCATTCAGCGAGCGTTGGAAGAGATCCACTAGCCTGATGTGTCAACGGATTGACCTCTCCTCACTTGGCATTCGCTGTGACGGAACTGTTAAGCAGTGTTCTGACTCAAACCGCCCTCATCAGCCGCTGCCGCCGCCAGGAGTGGAGCTGACGTACCCAATCTCCTTTTGCGCCTCAGTGGCTGACTTCGCAAGGGCACAGTTCTGTGGCTAAGGGGTCATGAGTGTGACATGGCTGCACATTTCAATCCATCAGGCGTGCGATGCCTGCGGTGTTCCCAGCTGGCCAT